CCCATTAATTAATTAATACCCTATAGGTTCAATTCTTCTTGAAAATCTACAGTATGATTTAAGAAAACCACTAGATCAATCTCGTTCATCATTATTGTATGTTACTGATTTATATATTATGGGTAAAGCACTTGCTTTAGAAACACTTATGCTACTTCATTGGTGTCAAAAAATGAAATTAACATCAGCTACTCTACATGGTTTTTCTCTTGGTGGACATATGGCTTCATTAGCATTTACAAAGTAAGATTCAATTCTATTATTTGATCTATTTAATGAATGGATATACAGTATCTATCATAATTTTAAATAATGATTCAAGTAGAGCAAACCATATTACAAAAAGAATATAAATTAAAAACATTGATTATTTGATTCCCTAAGTAAAAATTTTAGACAACCTAAAAGCCTAATTTGTCAGTATCTAGTGCTTGAACTCTCTAGGATGGTTTTTTATTGAGTAAAAGTTGAATAATTTTGGTAGCCATTGTGTATATATTTATATTTTAGATGGTCTGATCCACTTTCTCGACAATTCTATGAAAATAAAATTGTTCTCGATCTTATTAAAGATATGATGCGTCTTGTTATGGATGACCTTACATGTTCATATAATTATTCATGTTCAGTTCAATCAAATATATCTAATGCTATGTTTATTGCTTGCACACATGATGGTTATGTATTACGCGATGGTATCCCACATATGAATGATATTATGCTGTTGCTGAAATGTTACAACGACAAGAACCAAATGTAAAACTAAAAGAACATCTAATTATATCACCAATTTCTGTTACTACACCTAAAAATTCGTGAAGATATTTTTTTTTTTCATATAGATATTTTCTCGAAAAGTATCAAATATTTCCTAGTTTGTGTGTTATGATTTGAATAATAACTCAGAGAAAACAAAGCGTTTGATCAAATATAAACTAGATAATATATTAATCGTTTTGTTTTTTAAATATAATTTGTATGACTCTAATAAAAACATGAGCAAACATTTTTTTTTGTCCTATTTATCAGCAAATGGATATTGAGAGAACTTCTCTAACTGATATCCTCTGTTCGAGATCATAAGTAGGACTCATAGTCATGATGAAAACATTAAACATGTTTGTGCTCTTAAGCCTTTCATGATTGTTCTAGTAAATTTTCAGCATATTGCAGGATATTCACAAAAAGAACTGTAATAACGAGTCTCCATTTGAAACTTTCTTCAATAACAAATCTCACAACAATTATTACATACTAAAAGTTTTAGTTCAAACGAA